CAATCAACTTGAATTTCTACGCAAAGTATCTCATTATACCTTATAAATGTTTTTTTTTCAAATGTATCATTAATTAATCAACTTGATATTAACATCTTTTCTTAAAATAAATAAATAAATAAATAAATAAAAACCCCTTGATATCAACCTCAAGAACAAAGATATAATTTCTCTACTAACTACACAGTTCACATATTGAAGTTGAAAACAAGTATACATTTTGCTCATATATTCACTTATATGCTCTTGCATTACTTCATAATTTACCGATCTAATTCTATCCTTTTCTACAATCTAAAACCGTAAATTAAATACTACTACTACAAATAAAATGAAAACCCATAACTTCAACCCATTACTACTCTGCATATAACACCATCACCATCTCACACATGTTTCATCTCACACATGTCTTCTTGGCACCTTTAAGCACGTGCTCCACTCCTACAAGATTACCATATACTTCGTATACATGAGGACACGGTTTATGCCACATAGAACAATGGACTTAGCTTGGAACTTGACAATCACTTATCTATTATACGTCGTATGATTTTGTAAATTTTGTAAATTGAGATTTGTGGTGGAAAAACATAATTATTGTATAACAAATAAGATTAAAGATTGTCAAGCTTTTAAAAGTACTAAATGAAGTTCAATTTGTTCATAGAAAACAAATTAACAATAGAAAAGAAAAAAATAATCATAATGTTTAATTCTAATGATAACCGATCAAGAGGAAATACATAATGATTATGAGAAATTTCCTCATTTTGTTACAAGGATTACTCTTATGCACTAAACTATGATTACTTCATACAATGGCCATAATTGAAATCTCGGCGGCAGGCGGCTTGACTACGATAACATTTATATGTAAGACAACAGTAGACTGTTTGTCCTCCCATAGTTTGTGGCTGACATATCTTGAGGACTACTTTATCGGATCTAATTTCAGCACCTGCACAAATTAGTGAAAATTAATTGTATGCTAAAACAAGTTGAATCTATGTTATAAATATTAAGGACATCCTTATAGCTAAGTAATTAAAACAATTATTATTATGTACACGTCGTGTATGAATATAAATAGATATATAAACCTAAACAATTGAACAAATACAAAACTTACTACATGACTTACAATTAGCGTATTCACCATAATCAAAACTTCAAAAGAGAGATAAATATGACAACGAAAATGGATACGGGTACAAAAACGAGTACGAGTATATGACAAAATCAAAATTCAAAAATCGATACAATAAAAATTCAGCAAAAAAAAAAAAAAAAAACCACAAAATATAGGTTATTCAATGGCTACAATAATTAGGTTGCCATTATAAGAGACTAAATCTGCACCTTTAAATTTTAAGATGTAATCTTAACCCTTTATTTGCTAATTCACTTTTTGACAATTAAAGTAAAATTTTAAAACTAACCAAATATCATCAAAGAATGATAGTAGAATTGATGAGTGTTATTTACCTTCGATCTTTCATGGTTTTTAATTTTTAATTGAATCTACGTGTCTTCATCATCTTCAATCAATTCCTTGGATCGGTGAAGGAGCCATTTTTTTTTAATTTTTTTTTTATAAGCAAAGTTAGACAACCTAAGTCCTATGTTCAATACAACTTATGGAAAGTGAAGATCTAAACCGTAAGAGAAGTGATTTTCAATGAATTCCCTCACAATTCTCTCCACTTGTAAAGTACTTCGTATAAAAAGCAATGGGTTTGGCAAATAAAGAAGAAGGCTTCATAAATGTTTCTGCACTGCATTATAAGTGAGAGCCTTGCTGGCTTGCTGCTCACATAGTAAATTTAATTAACAAGAGTATGTGATGACTTATTGATGCAAGTATTAAAGTTGTACAGAGTATTGTTGTGTACTTGTGTAAATTATGCGATTCACTTAGCTTCACATAATTAAGCTTAATGCTAACAATTATATATACGAAAAAAAAAAAACTTCTTTTCATTAATAGCAAATTGCCAAATTGGTCTTGTTGTGCAATTTTCCCAATCTATTCTTCTCTTGTATAAAAAACAAGGGACGACTTCAATTGTATGGGTTCAAGCTCTCAACCATATCTTTATTTTTTTTCGATCAAACATACTTTTACGGAGTTCTATTTTACATTTAGAAATAAATATTAAGTTTTTATTTATTTATTTGTTATCATATATACTTTGTACGTATAAATAAACATTATTTTATTTTATTTTTTTTAATTTTTTTTATATAAAATCTATACATTTGAGTAGGATTATTCCAATAATATTTTACGAGTACAATATTTCAATAATTTATTAAATCAGATTTACAACCACCAATAATACCCTCTTCCTACAACCATTCATTGATTCACCTACCACAAATTCACTACCACCACTTTAGCCACCACCCTCCTCGCGACCTGCCACCGTCTTACATACTACCAAAAAGTCAATGCTCCTACATACAAGAATAATAAAACAACGGAAAATTTGTCTAGGAGGGACATGTATGTTTACATTTTTGTCTATAAAGACCTTATGTGTTTAAAGTTGTCTAAAAAGACCTTATAAGTTTATTTTGTTATTTGGAGGGACCTTGTGGTCGGAATTCGACTGTGTTTGACTTTTTTCCCCGACACTAACCTTTCATATGACCTTAAAAAATGATCCTTTTTTCTTATTCTTTTTTCCATGATTTTCCTCAAATTCCCTTATTCTGATTTGTCCCAACTAGGGATTAGAAGAAAGAGAAAGAGGAATTAAAGGGAAATCGTGAAAAAAAAAAGTCATTTTTTAAGGTCACGTGAGAGGTCAACGTCGAAGAAATAGTGATATAGTGATGCAGCATACTTCCATAACATGAGATCGATATAGTTAATGAGAACAGAACAATCGATACAATATACAACCTATAATTAAAATTTGCCTGTAGGACTGTAAGCTCAATCGGGGTATCTAGATCAAATACAAGTAGCAAATGAGTCACATTTGACAATAGCATGCTGATATTATCAATAAGAAGTAGTCAAAAAAAAAAAAAAAAAAAAAGAGATGGTTATAACAGAAAGCCATATAACAAATTCTTACAATAACATAAGCAACTCACTAACACTACTCTAGTTTAATATGATGTTAAAGTGGACTTTTCTAGTAAACTCAAATTAAGGAAGCAATGCCTGAAAACCAGCTGCAGATGAGTGAGAAACAGGTCTCTTCTTCTCTTTATCTTTGTTACATGTTTGTTGTTTTACCAGCCAATAGCCCCTTTGATGATGACATGCATGTTATAAGAGCTGGCCCATATCATGAATCCATTAGGGCTAACAGGTACTCGTAAGCATACTAGGCCATCAAATAATCTGAATCCACTAGTTTTATTCTGTGACAGTTTGGTCAAATTTAAGGGAAAAGTCAATGGGTCGAGATTGGTCAAATTTTAGATTCTTTGTAATTTTTTATTTTTACAAATTATGATAGATGGATCAAATCGGGTTAGTTTTAGCTCATTTGGGTTGGGTTGGATTGGTTTGGGTTTAGGTTCTCTCTCCGTAAAGTCGAGTCAAAATTTGACAAGTCTAAGTTCAATACAACTTCTTATAATTTTTCTTTAAAAAAAAAAAAAAAAAAAGTTTTCTTGCAATGTTGTTACAATTATGAGATGGCTAGCATAATAAAACAAATAAGTTAACTAAAAACATGGAAATAGTATATAATAAGTAAAAAAATACATTTGATGGCTTTTTTTATTTCAATTAAATTAAAAGGGCAAGGATTGCTATTACTAAATATAAATGCTCTAAATCTAGAGCTTTTTCATACAACCAACCTTATTGTAATCATCACAACATGATTTTGAATCATCAAAACATTTGAATTCAAGACAACAATATTTTCTTGGTCCACCACGAGTTTGTGGCTTGCAAATATTAAGCTCTACTTTTATAGATCCATTTCATTGTCAATATTATTCAACATATCCTTGCGTGATAACTTCAATCTGCCTTCATCGCCATAAACAGTACCACCTACACATTAATGAAAAATTATTTGTACGCTAAGACGATTATTGCATCTATATTATAAATTTTAATGGCATACTTGTAGCTAAACAAAACAATCATCATTCTCATCATTATGTGCACCATATATAAACTGCTAGAAAAACCTAAATGGTTAAATAAAATGGAAAATAATTGCATAACTTACAAATATCTGCATTTGCCAAGATTAAAATAAGATCAATATCAGTGTATCACATTTGATATAGAATGATGACCACAATTGATTATTTTTCTTATCTTAATATGCAAAATAAAACACATTCTCCTAAGATTTTCCATCTACTCCACTTTACACCATCTACAAATTCAAACTCATTCTGATGCATCTGCTTGTTGGCCCAAGTCCAACAAGCCCACCAGCACACTCTATTGGCCCATCCGCTTGGTGTTAAATTATTTGTATTAACCTTGCTTCATCAATTTAAATTTTTCCACATACGTAAAAAATTGCTTATATTTTTTACATGTATATTATTATATACTCCACGCTAGATTTTTCTCAATAAATGTCATCTTTGTTGACTTTATTTGTAATTTATATATTTAAAGAATAAAAAGGGTAATTTTTGTCCTTTTGGTTTAATAAATGTCATCTTTGTTAACTTTCTTAGGGTTTTAATTGGACTATCTTTATTCGTAACTCAAGTTGTTGATTAAAATTTAAAACTAATGGTGTAGAATTGACGAACTATACATATTTTTTAAGCACAGGGTGACACATGTCAGGTTGTAGATTAAGCGTCCTTTGTTTATTTATATTTATAGATTATAGAAGATATATTGGTAAAAGTTTCTTAAAATTATATGGAACAATCATTTAAATACGCTATACGGCCACAAAAGGACAGTGAAACATATATACGGAGGGAGTATACAGTAAGATTGATATAGTATCTGTCTGGTGGAAGGTTAAATCAAAAGTTATATAAGCTAATAATCAAAACATTTGTGTAAACATTCAAATCATTCAATTATAATTCCAGATATAATCATAAAGACAACTATGTGTGCATTAATCATGAAGCTTTTGAATCACATCATGAGTTAGTTAATCAACTTTTCAAAACTGTTAATGCCTAAATGTTACAAGAAACTTAGAACTAATAGACAAAGCTCACTGCTGATCTTTGAACATACTCACATTTTCAGCATATGACCAGTACTCCCTAACGAGTTTCCCAAACAATGAATCATGCTTGTTTATGAGCTTTGCTGGCTCGTCGAACTCTATTACTTTCCCTGTGTAAAATATACCACTTTTCATTAGTTCCGAAATATTTCATCTTTTCATAAGTAAGGCGTTATGTTTGTAAGAAATAAGAAGAAACTCACCGTCACTAATAGCTAGAATCCGTGTGCAGTCCATTACACTTGGTATTCTATGTGCCACTGTAACAACTGTACTGTCACTAAATTCTGTTCTTATGGTTTTATGGAGGATTGCATCGGTGGTGTTATCAATGGATGCAGTAGCTTCATCTAGAACTAGTATCTTCCTCCTCTTCAGTAAGGCTCGTCCTAGACAAAATAATTGTCGTTGTCCCATGCTCCAATTTGATCCATCTTGTACAACTGCATACCAAAATCACACCATTACTATATTTTACTCATTGAGAATGGAAATTTCGTTACTTTTTTTTATTGGTGATACCTGAGGAGTTTAGGCCGCCTTCTTTGTCCTGAACAGCTTCTCGGAGATGACACTTCTCAAGAACCTTTTAACACATGTAGAAGAATCACTTGCAAGTTAGAATGGGAAACTATAGCTTTGTTGTTTACACTTTAAAACTAAATTTAGGAGATGACTGAAAAATATGAAAATGTATGCTTTAAATGCACATCACCTGCCAGATCTCTTGGTCTGTATGCTGTGACAATGGGTCTAGATTGTGGCGAACTGAGCCACTAAAAAGTGTTGGGTCTTGAGGAATTATGCTAAGGTGAGATCTAAGATCATGAAGCCCAATGGTGCAAATGTCTATTCCATCTATGATGATCTTTCCCTCGGAAGGCTCCACCAATCGGAACAAAGTGCTGATAAGGGTTGTTTTCCCACTTCCGGTTCTCCCAACGATCCCAATCTTGCTATCACCTTCAAAGATGCAGTTAATCCCTTGAAGAACCAGTGGACCATTGGGTCTATATTTAACCTGTGAATATCATATATTTTTTTTCTGAAGCTATGTTCTGGCAGTTGACGAGCTTAAATATAAGTGTAATTCAAGTTTACCTTCAATTCACAGAATTCAATTTTCCCTACATCAGGCCAATTAGGAGGAGGTCTATTTTCTTGAATTATTTCACATGCTTCTTCAGGGATGTGCATGTACTGCTCCAACCTTTCGGCTGAAACTATCATGTTGGCCAGCATGCACTGGTTTTGGACAGAACTCACAAGATAGATATTCAAGGAGAGACCATAGGATAGTGCCATCCCAATAAATCCTGTCACGAGAACATCATCGAATAAAAATGTAATAAAAGGAATCGCAGAATAACAAAGATTAACCAATCTGTTTTCGTGGTTTTGAGAAGTGAGAAACTAACCAGAGTTGGCTTCACTGAAAGGAAGCAGAGTCAGTGCAAGAGCGGAGCATGAGAGAATAACTGCACATAGCATCTCCAAGCGTTGTATCAGCCATTCATTGGAAGAAAAACTGTGAAAGAAAGGGCTGGCATTGTTGTCTATAAGCTCTACAGCCTTCGAGAAGTATTGATCTTCCTTGCCAAAAGCTCGTATTGTGGTGGCTCCCGAAATGACCTCTGCAAGATTGCTTGCTATTGTGGACTTCGTAGTTCCATTGATTCGCATCAGCTCTTTTGCTGATGCAAAATAGTATTTCTGTATACATGTAATGTAATTAAATTCAAGTTTCAGTATCTTAACAGGATCAAAAACTCCTGCTAGAACTTTTCAGAATATACCAGAACATAGTTTCCAAATTTAATGTGTAAGATTTGGAGGTACCTGTAAGAGTATAGTCAGATACACCACAGGCACAATGATAAGCAAGACTTTCCAGGTCACGATAGCCAGGATACCAAAGCTAAAGAAAGCTGTTAGTGTAGATGCTAGGGCCATGCTTACCATCATGGCTACATCAAGGTCAATGATACTTATGTCTGAAGATACCTACAGGAAAATATAAGATAAAAGGTTAGCCTTCCATAATTGACAAAGAATGCTCAACCTTTGCTTAGAGATAGATTAATAATCTTACCCGACTGAGTATCCTTCCTAGGGGAGTGGCATCAAAAAAGGACATTGGTGCTCGAAAAAGGGAGTTCAGCAAAGTAGTAAATATTGATCGTGATGTGTCAAGACCAAGGGAAACAATAGAAAATGATCTTACGAGCAAGAAAATTCCCACACTACATCCTATAATTGAGTACACTGTCACGAATTTCACTTCACTAACACCAGGATTTTGAACATTATTGGCCAACCAATAACTTTGTATAGACTGCCCGAGAAGAAATAAGATGTGGGCTAATATTGCCAAGGATGAGTATAAGAAACCTCTTCCATGACTAAGGTACTGTATATAAGGCTTAAAGCCTTTGTCTCCTGTTTCTCTTTCTTCTTTCTGAATCAATTTATCACCTAAGGATGCATGTACTTTGTCCTGATTGAAGTTGTCTCTTTCATCATTTTTCAGATTCGGGAGAGATCTACTCTCTTTACAATTGTCAGACTGCATTGAGTTGTTATGCGCATTGACTAGATTTTGGAACTCAAGGCTTGAAGTCATCAGTTGTTCATAAGTGCCTGACTTTATAATCTGACCTTCAACCATCAACTGCAAAAGAAAAAAAAAAAAAGATACTTATACAAGATCATTTGCTTAAGTCGAAAAACTTTATATCCTCTCTCTTTAGTTTGTTCATTTGCCTTTTTAGTTTCCACATATTTTCTTTACCTTCCTATAGACTATAGCTGAGGATAAGATGGAACGATAGTCAACGAAAGATATGAAATTATTAAAAACTAACCAATATACAATCAAATGTAGGTAGGAAGTCAACTTGGTGAGTGACTAGCAGGACAGTCTTTCCTGCCAGAGCTCCCATGACATATCTCTGCAAAAATTGTTCAAGTTAGTTAAGTAATAAAGGTGTTTCTACTAGAACAAAGCAAAAGGAAAGGGATCTTCTTTTCTATTACATTGAATAGACTAGTCGCAGTGTGAGCATCAACAGCGCTGAATGGATCATCCAGGAGGTAAAGATCAGCATCCTGATACAAGGCGCGTGCTAGTTGCACTCGTTGCTTCTGTCCACCACTGAGGTTAACTCCTCTTTCCCCAATTACTGTGAGATCACCACATGGAAGCATGTCTATATCTTTTAACAATGAGCACCTTTTAAGTGTATCTTCATATCTTTGATGATCCATGTAAGAACCAAACAGAATATTATCTCTTATAGTCCCAGTTTGAATCCATGCTGTCTGAGAGACATAGGCAAGCTTTCCATAAACTTGCACCTGAAATACCAGAAGCCAATCAGTAATTAAATCTCACTTAGCTTACAGTGCAGTTTACACAACATACACTCGTTAATAATTTAGTAAAAAAAAAAATTGATAAGCTGTTTGATTAAAGCCTGAATCCTATTTTTTTTCTCATATAAAACTCAGTAAGAATAAATAACAAAATAATAATAGTAAAGAGAATAGGGCCTTACAGTGCCATCAATGCTTGGAACTTCTCCAAGAATGGCTGCAAAGAGTGTGGATTTACCGGCTCCAACCTCTCCACAAATGGCTACCTTCTCTCCAGGTTTAACAAGTAGATTTACATTTCTAAGGGTTGGCTTTAGTGCAAAATCCCATGAAATTGCTGTGCTTCTGATATCTATAGACTTCTCTAGTTCCTTCCCTTTCTTCCTCTGCTGGATATGTTGATTTTGCAATTCAGTTGCATCAAGAAACCTTATGATTCGGTCTAATGATACAGTTGCTTGTATATATGCTCCAGCAACATCCGGGATTAACCTTACAGGTTCCTGAACTATTCTCAAAGTAGCTAAAAATGTAAAAACATTACCAGCATCCAAAGGAATTCCTAAAAAACAGCATGCCCCAAATGTAGCTATCGACATCAATATTGGAAATGACCAGAAAAGAATCATATAGTACCCTTTCTGTAGAAGCACAGCTGCTAGTGACCTGAACTCAATTTCCCTCAAATTTTCGATGCCTTTCTTGAAATGGTTTTCCCAGGCATAAACCTTCAGCACCTTCATTGTCACCAAGGCTTCAGTTATGGCCCCCAACCTTTTATCCTGTTCTAACATAAGCTTTGTTTGATATTTATGCTGTAATTTACCTAAGGGAGAGTTTCCAAGTACTGCAACAACAACAATCACTAATGCCGCAATTGTTGCATTCCCAACACAGTAGTAAATGATCACCAAAGAAATACACATTTGGAGAACCACAGTCCATATCTGATGAAACCAGAAAGGAAATTCACCAATTCTGTAAGCATCAACCGTGACATAGTTCACTATCTCACCAGGAGTGTGACTCGTTTTAGCATCATTCGAGAGTCTGAATTGCTTGACATAAACAGCTGCAGATAACATCGATCTTATCTGGAGTCCAATCAATCTAGTCCTAAAGCACCATTGCCTCTCTGACAATGATTCTAAGCATTTTGTGAATAAAAGCAGAAAAGTGATTGCATAGCCTTCATATTTAAAGACCCTTTTCCCTTCAGCTATATCAATGAATGCTTTGAGAAAAAGAGGCCCAGTTGATAAAGTAAGCACCTTAACCAATGCAAAAGCCCCAGAAATCATTATGCCATTCCATTGCCAGGAAAATATGGAAGCAGGACAAATTGAAGTTGATCCCTTCTCTTTACTATTGCTAATTTTCTCCATAAAATCGCGATAACAGGTTTCTGCCTGATCAGCAGTCCTAAGTTTAGGAATATCTTCATCCTCAAGAATTTTCTCTTTTCCCAATTTCATCAGTGGATTTAACCACCAAAATGACATTCTACTGAAAAACCCAGCTTTCGAAAACAGACTTTGATTTTCATCAGAGGTATAAACATCTTCATTATCAAGCAAAGGTACACTAGACTCATGTAAACAAACTTTCGATTCTGATTCAGATTCTTGCTTATTAATATGCTCTTTAAAAACATAGAAAAATAACAGAATAACTCCAGGAAGCAACAAAATATCAAAGATGAGCTTAACATGTTTCACTCTCCTAGAAACAATTACTTCATAAATAGAAATTGCAAACAAAAATGCAGCATATAATCCAGAAAAAGTGAAACATATCTTGAACAAGGTTGAGAGTGAACCAAATGGTCTTCTGAAGCTCAGAATCAGACTCAGAAACAGCCAAGTGAACCCCTGAAAGAGCAGAACCAGCCATCCATTCAGGGGCAAAACAGTCTTTTCAGTTCTTATCTTGTCTTCCAAAACCCATAAACCAAGAATTAAGTATGCTAAACTCAGAACAATATTTACAGCAGCAGAAAAATATTTGAATGCAGAAGTTGTATTCTTGGTAGTAGGGGTGGATAAAATGATGAACAAAAACAACAAAATGAGCAACAAATCAATGGAGATTACTATGATGTGGTTTACACATGAATTTGTATTAAGTGTTGATGCAAAAAATGTGCCAAAACTCTCATATGGGTAGGCTGAATTTCCACAGTAATTTGCCCAGAAATTGTTACCCATTTTACTGATATTTGGAGATGGGATTAGAAATGAGTCAAAGACAATAATGATTAAAGCTTCATTAGGTTGAATTTACTTTTCTTTTTTTTTTCGGGAAAAAGAGTAGGGGTATACGTACAAAAAGAAAATGATTAAATGAATGGTAGGTTCATTTTACTACGTGTTTATGGACTATAATAAAGAAAATGAAAATCATTAATCAAGTAATCAGAGATAACAAGACAAACCAAATAAAGAAACAAAATGGGAAAACAACAAAAGTGAAAAGTTGAATAGAAGCTAATGTTACCACCACAAATGTAATGCACACACGTTGCAATTAGCCAATTAGATGTTAGTTCCAAGATGGAAGGTCCAATGCCAAAACCAAATTGTACTCTCATTATTTCATTAGTCAATAAATTACCACTAAATACTACCTCCGTTATATATTATTTGCAACGATTTGACATAAAGTAGAGAGGAAAATTGTCTAATCGTTGCAAATAATATGTAACGGATGTAGCTTTTCAAAAAAAAAATGTAACGGATGTAGTATTACAATTGACTTAGGGTTACTAAAAGACAAGTGATTAGTAAATATTAATAGGAGTATAATTAGTGACTTAGTGGTGCCACACTGCCACATGCTTAACTAACCGAAAAAATAGAATGAGCAAACTTCGTTTCATATTATGTCCAACAGTTACTAAAAACAATTGAACGATTACTACATATTATGTTCAACAATTTTTTTTCTTTCCTTCGTAAAATATTATTTTGTATATCTTTCTCCTCATCACATGTACCTTTATCTTCCTCTCTCTCCATACTTTGTGTAATTGTGTTTTTTTGGAGTAGCGGATAATTGTCAACTAGATGAAGGGTTTGTTCTCTTACGTTGAAATTCAGTTCAGTTCAGTTCCTAATTTCCTTCTCTTATAAAATATTCATTTCAGTTCAGTTCAGTTCAGCTCAGCTCAATTCAGTTCAGCTGAGTTCAGTCAATAAGAACAGGCCCGAAGTTTGACTTAACATATACAATAAAATATATATGATCTGGTCTAATTTTTTTTACTCTCTCTGTTTTCGAAAAAAATCTTTGATGTTTTTACATTGTTATTATTATTAAAACTAGTCGTTGGAGCACGCGTAGTCGTTGGAGCACGCGCGTTGCGCGTGCCCCTCCGACGGCAAGCTAAGCAGAGTTCGTTGAATTGTTGTTGGGGCTATATACGAGTTTATGTCTAGGTTATGTAAAACTAAGAGTTTTTATACGACTTGTTGTTAGTAATTGTAAGGGTCAAGTAACTTGTGTTTTTGTATTGGTGTTAGTGAAATGTGGTCTGTTTTTGACAAAGCAATGACTAAAAATATTAAATAAAAAAACCGGGTCACAGATGTGTGCACCCTTGATCCCTTACTGAAGTTTAATCAGGCAAATGATATACGATAACACCAGACCATGGTAATCGATGCATACTGTATGTATAAGGAAATGTATGAAACGGTATGTTTTATATTTGGACTGTTTTAAAGTTGTAGTGGTAGAATATGTAAAGGTCTAAACATCTGTATTTGGAAAGTCATTGGGTGTTTATTTTTCCAAGAGTTTGTCATAATTGCTTTATATATTTCTGAGGGTCCATCTTGTTCCTGTGTAGTGTATTGTTCTGTTTTTATTCCTGTAGTTCTGTTCTGGCTTCCATTCTCTGTCCTTTTTTTTAAATTTATTCAAAGCTTAATTTGTTGTAAGGTTGAGTGTTTATTTTGCGCCTAAAAACAATGGCGAGTACCGATAGCACAGCTACCTCTGGGAAATCATTCACACCATCAATCTGGCGGTCAAATAAAATGAAATCACTGGCAGAAAATATCGCAAGCTTTCGGTTGTACGTTAAAGATGTGACGAACCAGATAAACAAGCATCTAGAATTACTACAACAAGAGTCGTTGAAGGCTGAGACGAAAAAAGAAAACGGTAATAAAAGAAAAAGAGAAGTTGAGACTGTTGGTTGCGGAGAATGGTCAGTTATTGTTGTTGAATCAGACAGCGATAGAGGTGAAAATCAAACTAATAAAAAAGGCGGAGAAGCAGAAAAGGAAACAGAGAACAGCGAAAAAGAGAAAGAGTCTGAGTTAAGATGAAGAGACAAATGAAGAAAGGGAAAGTGGTGCGATTTCCGATTCTGAAACTGAGACTGAAGAAGAAGGTGTTGTTAAGGCAAATGCGTCATTTGATTCGATTAGTGAGGACAATAATGATGATGATGACGACGACGATGATGATGATTGCGGATTGGACTCTGGTGTGGGCAATTATGATGAATCTAATCAAGAAACAAGCGAAGATTCGTCTATGTTTGCTATGAAAATACATGACTAAGTGCATTATCTTTGTTATTAAAGAGGGTTTTTGGGGTTTTGCTGTAGGAATGGTAGTCTGACCTAACGGTTTGCTTGGCTGTTTTTTACGTGGTAGTTGATGGTAGGAAGCCATTTATTAGCGGTGGAATTGAAGTGCATCTAAGAATTTAGTTTTAATAGATTTGTAGAAGTATCAGTGTTAAGGTTTAGGTTTAGTAAGTTGTTTCCTTTGGAATATCTATTGTAATTAGTGAAGGATGTTAGGGTGTAATTACTATGAAATCGAGCTTTATTTTATGAAGAATGGATTACTCTTATTACATAATTTCTGTTCTTGTATATTCTGGATGGCAGTTGTTAACGTATACATGGTAAAAAAAAAAAGCTTAATGTACTTATACAGCAACAATGTAATATTTGACATAAAAGGTAGTTGGAAAAAAAATGGTGAGGGATTGTAAAGCAGATATGTAAAGCAATGGACAAGATCATTGATTCATTGGTTGTAAAAAAATATCCAGATAAAAGAGACATGTTTTCATCCTGATACAAATCGAATTTAAGAAACTGCACTATGTAAGATATATGGCATACTCTACAGTAACTGGAATAACGTGTATGCATCTTGGACCATAGAGTAGATATCTGATCCATAGTGTTGATTAGAACCTGTATAACCTAGGTCTTTTTGGTTTGTATGGTAATCTATTTGGTAGTGTAGATATAGGTAATAGTATTCAGTTATAAAGTATAATTTGTTCGACTATTCAGTTTATTTTAGAACACTGAGGGTATCATGGTTACTGATACATGTTGGAAATCTTTTGTTGTTCTCCTTTCATATCTACAGTGTTCAGGAATGTGTAATCTGCATGTGGTGTATTTGTCTTCAGGAAATTCCTGGTCGCTATCATCAAGTTTTAGCAAATCAGTGTGAAGTAGTCAATATCTATCGGGGTGCAGAAGGTTTCTCATGGGCTGTGACTATTCAGAAAGTTGTGAATGGTAATGAAGTTTGCACCATGTATATGAATGAAGGGTGGGAAAGCTTCATCGAAAATAATGATATTGAAGTTGGAGACATGTTAATAATGTATTTCAAAGGTAATAGTGTATTTCACACCAGAATATGTGCCTCCCATAGTGAAGAGAAGACATATCCAGCTGCATTGATACCACGAAGTGCTACAGATGAAAGAATACTTCCGTTAAGTAGATCAGAGCTTGGAGTTCATTTAAGGCTAATGCAGCAAAGATGCTCTTATCCATCTTTTAAAGCTATTTTTCGTTCTCCATATATCAGTGAAGGAACTCTTGTATGTGTAAATGTACAGTTTATTTTTTTGGGTATATTGGTATTCAATTTTTGAGCTATGCAAATGGTTTGCGAGGGCTAAGTTTTTAAAATTGATAATTTGTACAGGTTGTTCCTGCATCGTTTGCAAGAATTTATTTTCAACGTATGCAGCCAAGTACTGTTATTCTAATTCGGCACAAACTTAAACAATGGTGTGCCGAGCTGCATATTGCTCGACAAGGAAATGTAATAATTGGTTGTTCTCTGAGGAACGGTGTAAATCTCTTTTATGAGGATCAGCATATTATTAGTGGCGTAGGCGGATTAGTAATTTATCGTCAAGGATATCCTCTCCTATTCGAGTTTCAGCTAGCACCACACTAATGTCATTAGATTATTTGGTCATTTACTTATGAAACACTTCCAGCCTCTTATGAAAGTAGTACTCTTAAAAGCCTTTTGTGTAATTAGAGCTACTTACAGTTATGTGGGTAATTCTAATTTGTTATTAAGATAATAGAAAGTTTGTTTAGCCACAGACGATATGAAGAAGTTTAACCTAGGTGTTGCTTTTGGTGGTTGTGTGTTAGAAGCGGAACATGAATTGACTTATCTTAAATTCTATGGTACATTTTTAAAAAGGCCTACCATAGCCATGCTTGTATTGTAAGACTAATTTACTTATTGTATAAAAGTAAGGTTAATGTGTTTCAAACTCGGTGTCTATTGTTGTTCTATCGTAGGCTTTCCTATACCATATGTTTTTCAGTTTGTGAATTGCATATAGGATATCATGTAATGTTACATTGTAGTTTTAATGGTTTCCCCAGATCCTGCTAATACCTTTTGTTGTTATATATTTGAACTAATTAACTAGGAGCTGAAAGTTGTTAGTTTATGTTTGCTTGTTATACGCGTTGTCAGTTAGAAGAATATCTAAGCATCTTTTGTCATGTCACTGTAAAGCCTATTCAGTAGACTATATAGTGAGGAGATCTACTTTTGGAAAAGTGACAAAAGATTGGATATGGATGAAATCAGTGTTGCAGGTTTTTTTGATGATAAGTGTATGGAAGTACAAATAAGTGATATTAATATTCCTTACCTAAGAGCTGCTTGATATCTAATCATCACTATATTGATTATTTTCAAAGAAGACAAGAAGTCTTTAGAAACATAGAGATATAGAATCTTATATCTCAGTTACTTTCTAAAGGTAAATTATGATATTAATGACCTTTTATTTCCTCATTAATATATGTAACAATGTAGCAGTTTTAAGTTCATGTTTTCTGTCTATATATAGAAACATTTTCTATCAGTTAGCAAGTATATAGGAATTCTGTGAATTTTTGCAGATAATATTGTGTAGGTGCTATAGAGAATAAGTGTTTTGCCCAAAAAATCAATGGCAGATTTTCCAGCTGTGTTTACAGTTCACTATGCGAATGACAATGAGCAACATGATAAGTTGGTATGAAATTATGTAAACTGTCTTTGTTAGTGTTTGATTTGCATCTATTGTAGGATGTGCTTAGTTTTTAGCTTTTGTCTACATTTCTGCTGATTTTGGGTGTGCATGTCGCGTATATTTTGCTTAGCTGTTATGTGTGGTTAGTACTTTGTATTGTGTGCATAATGAGTGAAAATTATCATACTTGCAGCTTATCCCTGATGGTTTTGGAGATGTGTTAGATGATGGCTTCTTAAATATTCAGTTATTCATTGATGGTTGTTATGAATCTTGGTATGTTACTTTAGTTCATGAAGAATGTGGCAGTGGGTGGAGTACATATCTTGATGCAGGGTGGGTTGATTTCGTGGAAGATAATGGGATAGAAGTAGGTGATATCTTAATTTTCACTTATTTAGGGGATAGTTCATTCACAATCCAAGTTAAGGCTGCTAAGAAAGCAAAGAAAATAGAAAAGAAAAAAAATTCTGAAGGCTCTAGCAGTTCTTGTAAAAAACGTGGACGGAGGCCAGCTGTGGAAGGATCTTCAGCTAAAATGGCTGAGACCTATGCTTGGCTCACTGAACTTGCTGCTAGCTGCCATGAAGATTATTTCTTTTTCATATTTTCAGCTGCATATATTCAACAAGGAGTTATAGTATGTTTTTCTTTTACTGTACAGTAGTTTGTAAAATACGTGTTTCTTGTTTGTATTCTTGCTGATATTATTTTGTGTGGTGTGGTTCTTTGGTAGAATGTTCTGCTGGATTTTGCTAGGCAACATTTTCACGATTACCCCGATACCATTGATATCAGTCTGCAGAACTTTGATAGAGAGTTCAGTGCTCAGTTGAAGGTTGCAAGGGTTGGGAATACGATTACTCAGTGCTCAATAAAGAATGGTGTAAAGAAATTTACTGATCACTACAATGTCCAAGTAGATGAAGGGGCGTTGATAAAATTTAGACAAGGAGATTCTATAGTCTTTGATGTCGATTTAGTGTTGGTGTAGTAGGCTGACGTAATTATATGTATTCTTAGAATGCTATGTTATTAGGACTGCGTGTCTTTTCTTTGGTTTTATTTTGTCCACAGATTAATAAGGGCAGTAGATTTTTTTTAGGATGAATTATTGCCTTATATAATGTAGTGGAATTAGACAAAGGTTACCTCCTTTTCTTATGTATATTTCTAAAATTATCAGCAGGCAAAGTACATGAGAAGCAAACAAGACAATTCTGAAAACTTAACTGTCATGGATATTTTACATAACAGGGTTTTTGAAGACATGGTGACGCCTGTCAATCCATAGGTGTATACCTGTGTAGATTCTTAAGCATAGTAGAAGTCGAAAATCACCTAGAATGAAAATGGCAACTCTTTGTCTGTGGAAAATGAAACCGTTCAGGGCTCAAAGTTAGGAATAGCTAACATTTTCAGAAGCATATAAAAACTCTAATGTGACATATGACCTAGGTTACTATTCATTTTGTGCATAATTAATTTCTAGGCAGTGTGATTGATAGGTAAAACGAATTAATGCAATTGGAATAGTTAGACAATTACCAGCGTTCATGTCTTGTTCAAAGGCATCAGGATGTAGGTGAGTGCAGCAGGCCGTTTCTGTTTTCCTGCCTTGATTTGTGCTGTAAAATTAGGGCCAGTATGCTACACAAGAGAATTAAAAGTGCTGAAAGGAAAGGATGTAAAACAGTCCCAAAAAAAGGAACAGTTGTTAAACTTATATGAAGTAAAATGTAGGCAGTGATTATTGGAAACTAAACATGCATTAATGAATGTGAAATTAGGATGGGAAAAAAATATAATAGTGTCAAAGAATGCATCTAAGTTAGACAGTGCAACGCTCATATGAGCCAGGTAATTTAAAAGGCTACAGATGAAATGGCAAGTAAATCTCAATAGAAATAGTTCACAATAACCAAGTTATATTATAGATAAGTATCTTGATTTAAGGATACAAGCTAATAAATCATACCTATTCTGCTAGTACTATGTACATAATAGAAGGCCTTAGTTCTACGTAACTGGGTGTCTAAGACATAACTGCAAATTAGCTGCTATTACAAAGCTTAGTGCTGTGCATACATTTGATGTTTATAGGGAACACATAATGTCCAAAATGTTCTTTCTAAACATCCAAAAGATAGCTGACCTTAACCCTAGCAATGTACCATACTATAGTACTTAATTCATTTTAACATTTTAAAAGCAAAAGGAGGCAAATACTTATACTTTTGAAGCTGGCTTTATATGCAAGCTGGTAGGGAGACTTCAAGGTGCTTCTTTGTTGTTAATTGTCTTTCTCTGCATTCTCTTTGAAAAGGGCTGTTCGGAGTTTCTTCCTTGGACCCTGGTCTTCATCATCCGATTCTTGCGCATCAGCAGTAAGCATTGGCTCTTTTTTCTTACCATTTCTGCGAGTGCGACCAAGAGTGGTCCATGTAGGAAGTTCTGTCACTGGTGCTGGTGCTTCAGAAATTGTAATACCCTTAGTTGCTGGCTGCAACGGGACATCAAAGCAATCTGTCTCAAATGCTTGGGAAGCTAGTCTGAACTCATGAAACTGAGATATCTGAGCAAGAACCTCATCAGTTGTTTCCGTGTTATCCTCACTGTAATCAATATCACCTTCTAAGTTAGGAACAACAGGTGCTTTAGCATGGTCCTTAGCTGTGGCAGCTGGTGCAACATCATTTCCGAACATTTGTTGTGCTAGCAGTCGCTTACCAGCTGTAGAGGCGAACTGCTGTTTGTTGAGATTAGAAGACGATGAGCCTGGCACCTCGCTACTTGCTGGTGCACCTTTGACATCGACAGATTTCAGTGTCCACAATAAAACACTGTTCCTTGCTAACTCTAGAGTTGGAGTTACTTGAATGAAAAAGGGCTCTGCTGATAGCCTCTCTTGTATAGCCCTAAAAGCCTCCGAATTGCCCTATAATGTTCATGACCACGTATGAGTAATCAGTATATAGCATGTGATAAATGTGAAATCGTTTCTTTTTTTGTGTAGAATAAAAGACTGAGTAACAGAAAGAACTATAATCAGTAGGTTTTTTTTTCCCTAATTTATAATTATCGTTCCATGCATATCACGATGAACGATTATAGTCCACATAAGCATATACAAAGATCTGTAAAAAATGCAGGACATTAAAGATCATAACAGTGGTAGGATTCCTTACATTGATTTTCATATCCCAAATTTCAGCTACTGTCTTTTGAAACAGTTTCTCCGTATCATCGTTAAAAGTTGTAAATGACATTATGCCACTGTCATCAACAGCTTTGAACTTGAAAGTAACTCTATAACAGTGTACATGTCAGATAAACAAAATGTCAGTATATGTCTAACAATCATGGAATTTTTCTAAAAACTAAACTTTGGGCTAAGAGTATACTTATGGGCAGCAGTAGTGTCTGCTTTCTTGCAAGAAATGCAAGGAAAGCGAGTCCCAAGTGCAAGGTGTGACCGCTTTCCACAGCCAAGACAGCCTATGTATGCATTGACTCTCTGTAAGTCAGCTTCTGGAATTGTGACTTTGATCCAAGCTACTTCATCTGGTGTTGCATTAGCTGCCTGCATCAATGTTGCCAACAGGATATTACTAAATAGGTGAATATATACTTGTCCTAAGTGCTATGTTTTATGAGAATCTTTTTTCCATATATAATAAATTTAGTGAATTGAGGACCTTTTTGCTTCTCAGCTCAGCTATTGTTACAACTTTCTTTTCAGTGCTTGGGTATCTGACATTCAGAATCCTTTCTTGCCTATCTTGCAATACATGCTGATATAAGTTAACCCTGAAACAGAATAGGAAGCCTTAGTTAACCTATTGTTATTTGCTGATAGAATGATTGTATATAACATTTACCATTCTCGAAGCAGATATGCTCGTGCTCCTTTGGGATTCAGAATGATTCTGGTGGACATGGTTGTATTCAGAGTGAATCCTGTAGCCAAATAGAAGGGAGGTTATTCTCTGATATTCAGTGAAGGTTAGAATTCGTAAATTATACCAAGCAACCTGACCTCTTGTGTGTCGGGTCTTGAGGGCAGTAAAACCAACGACACTAAATTTTTCAGCCTAATTATTCAGAGCATCACAAGGTTTACCAGTGAGATCATTCCATGCTGAAATAGTCATAGCATGGTCTTGGCTGATTCATAAATCAATAATTAGTGTCAGTAATCTGGCTCAGTTGTTAGCTAAATTGTACAATACGGAAGTTTTTAAGAACTATATATACCTTGTATCTGTAATAGAAATCTCTCGAACTGGACTATCCCGACCACGTGTATTAGGAATGAGTCTCGGTGCTTCTTCAACAAACAGGACAACACCAACTATATCTGGTTTAGGAGAAAAGTAAAAAGTGAATATAATAGAATGCATGCATTCAATGTCATTGTCAAAGGTGCAAATACAAGTACAGATATTTCTAAAAAGATAGATAATAATCACTACCAAATCTTCCATTTGGATCAGGTGAGCGTGGGATACTTGACAGTGGCTGATACTTTGGTTCAATCGGTCCACTTTCTGGATTTAACTTGATAATAGTTTGTTGTCCAGCGGTCATCTGGTACGGAAGTTCTTGTTCATTGAATTTGTACTGCTCATCAATAGCTGTTATAGGAGCCTTGGATATTTCATACTGACCAGATGGCTTCAGAACGTCTTCATATGCCTCAATCTGGTCACCAAAAAGAGCACAACGCATCTTGTTTTTCTGAAAAAAAAAACATAACATACTTACAAGGAGAAGATCACTTAACAGAAAAGACTACTTTATGCAGGGAATAAAGGCATGCTTAAGTAAGTAACCTAGTTCTAACTCTGAACAGATCTACACATTAATATTTTAGAGCTATTTTGTTATTCATAATCTGTATACTCTTTCTTTTGTATAATGATTCTTTTATAGCTCATAAGTTAGGCAGAAGAGACTGTTTTTGCAACAAGCAGTTTCCAACACTGTAACCAAAAAACAAATGCTACATATGTTTCTACAATTAAAGTTTACAACAAGTATATACCTTTTCATCCTCTAAAATGATTGTTTGGAAAACCACACCAGGTTTCTTAGGAGAAGGTTGAGCTCTTCCCTTTTCAGCGACAGTGACTTTAACTTTGTAGTCCTTACTTTGAGCAGTTAGTTCATCTAGGTAAACAGGTTCAAGCTTCATCTTTGGAGGTGTATTCATGATCTGTAATTCATGGAATGCTGAATAGTCAGCAAAAGAACTATCTATAAACAGATGTATTTGTTATACTTCACAGGATGTAAGAATGAGGTAACATAAAAGTGCATGTAAAAGGACTGGATGATATATGCATGGTGATTAGTGTAGGTTACATGGAAATGATATACAATTTGTTGTCATTCTTGCATTAGTTAGTTTTTTGTTACAGAATATCTATAAACAAGTTCTAAGCATAAAGAATGCCAAAAAAAAAGGGGGGGGGGGGGAAGTTTCATAAACACAGCAGTTTGAGACATTGCATGAGCAACGGTTACTCTAATAAAGATAACTAAATAACCATATAACAGTATATATAAATACAAATTAACTAACTACCAATCCTAGATTATACTAAAATAAGCAAATTAAATACGAGGTATAGATTTCTCATAATGGAATCTTGACCCAAAAAAATATAAAAAGTAGCTAAGAATGTGAGTGATTGCTACAGCAACTAATGTAAAAGCCACTTTAAAACTTGCAGGAAAGAAGAAGAATATACAATTAAGGATGCAAAGTAGGAGAATAAAGTTGATGCTTCAAAAGTCTCCAACCTATGTGGTATTTATAGTCAAGGCTGAAAAGAGAATTGATCTAGGTATTTTGCTTGCAATAGTAACCGTGAGCAAACAGTAAACACTTCTCCTTCCTTTACTTGAGTACAGCTTGCAAGCACTTTAGGGATAGTTTAATATATTTTTCTTAAACCATAAGTAAAAATCTCCTAATTATTATGGCTATTATTTAACTAAGCATATTTCAATGGAAAAGTACTTTCTTTTATGTGGCTAAAGCAAAAGGCAAGTACAACTTTTATTATAAAAGTATTTTGCTTACCATGAATAGTTACTTTGACTTGTACTTGTTAGTAGTGATCTCCAAGGTAAAATGTATATACATTTTTACTCTATCAACTAATCTGCCATTCAAAAAGTATAGTGCTAATTTTATTGTATGGGCTAAATTAACAAAACCCATTTATAAAGTATGCAATACATAACCCAAATAATAACCCCTAACTAAATCACAAGAAACACTATTAGTAACAAAGGAATTGCTACACGGCCTACGGTACATATTAGTCGTAATAATCGCTAGTAAGTATTGATCAGCAAAAGAATTTGTAACATAGATTTGATGTACAGCATGCATACTGATTAAATACATAAAATCCAGAACAAAATAAAATGTTAGCGTCTTCTATATAAAGTATGCATAGCAGAGCATAATTTACCCTATAGCATACACCTTCGCCAGAAAATAAATGTTATTGCTTGTTGATTCTGCTGCTTCCTGCATGGTAAATACAAATAGTCAAAGATTGGAATGCAACCTCTGCATAGATAAAGGAAGAACAACCTATCGGTTAATAGCAGAATGCTCCAATTAGGCACCACTAACTGTCCATTTGTAAGAACAAGTACAATAAACAGGTTAACAACACTGACTCTTGTCATTCAAAGGTAGTAAGCATTTGACGAGAGGCTAACCACAATGCGTGACTAACAAGCGCACCTAATCCAGATTAATAAATCAGCTAATGCTAAGCTGGAAGAAAGGAAGCCAAGTCATTCTTATACATCCTTGTACTATCATGGAATCTATTCGAACTCGGATATAAGGAACCAATAATATCTTCCAATGAAAGCTTATCCAGAAGATATTACCGAGTCTGACATAACAAAGGAAAAGTTAAAGGCTGATGGTGTTTCAGCATGAGAAAAATCTGTAAGTCATAGTTATATGGTACCTCACAAAGCTGGGCATAGTGTTTGTATATGTTGCTGTTTTCATTAAGATCACCAAGCAAAGTTCCAGCATAGCAGCCATTGTTGTCATCCATAAGAGGCATCTCAAGATACCTAAGCAAAGAGAAAGGGAAAAATCTTTGTTAGCAAAACTGCAAGATATTAACAATCAGCTACAGAGGCCATACCTTTTTCATCTGTATCAAAGCACTACTTGTTTCTATCTAAGGCCATATTATGTTATCTAGATCAATAAGTGTGTGTAGCCAATGATGCTCATAGTTCATGAATAATTTAGTACTTCATTCACACTGCTATACTAAATTAGCTGGTATTAGTTGACTGTCAAATCTACACAAGCAGCTAAAAAGGCGCTCATAGATCAATAAGGACAGAAACACAACCAAGAAAAAAAAAAGAGATGCACTGCTATACTAAATTAGTACTTCAATTAAAGTGCATTCACATACTTACAATGTCTGGTGTAAAGGCAACCTTCATTCACACTAAAACGTATATCAGTAACATTAAATCCTGCTCTGACATGTAAAACCAACCAAAAATTAATCCTCACTCTATTAAAAAACAATCAGCATCGGCAACTGTGGTATATTTGTGTTTGCTTACAGAAGTTTAATGCAATGCTCGCTCTACATTGCATCATTTCGAACAATGCCTGCAAGTAGTAGAAGTTTATGAGACACTACATTCTTAACTGCAGTAACAGAACATTGGTTAGTACCAGTTGTAGTGAAAACGCAAACATCGTTTGATTTTTTTGCTCGTGAAAGGGAAACATAAAGCTGCCCATGGGAAAAACACGGGCGTGGTAAATAAATGGATACTTGGCTAAGAGTCTGTCCCTGAGACTTATTAATTGTCATTGCAAAGCTAAGTTTTATAGGAAATTGTTTTCGTTCAAACATGAACGGATACTTGACAGACTTAGAAGGCCTTAAATTAATCCTGTGGATAAAAACTTCCTCTCCTTTGTAGTGGCCAACTGCTATAGTACACTAAATGACGTTCGGAAAAAACTTCCTGCAAATTAACCTTGTACCATTGCAGAGACCTGAAGATGGAAGTAAATTCCTTAGCAATATCACTGGGAAGTTTTCCTTCAGCACAAGCTCATGAGGACTCATTCCACCTGGGCACAGCTTGTTAATAAATTCTGTAGGATATATACTGCATGTATCATTAATAACAGCATCAAAACTCTTGTAAGTCACAGCACAACCAGGGAATTTCTCAATCATGAATGTGTTTATAGCATCCACATCATCATTCATGGGTGTCAAAATCGCCCTTTTTGTGAAAACCTCACTGTCAGAGCAGCCACGGCCAATTTCTGGAAATGTTGTTTCTGTAACAGCTGCAACCAAGTCCGTAAAGTCGTCTGTGCACTGTACAATATGTTCCAGCAACTCGACAAAAGCGTTTTCTGTTTGCTGCAGTTCACCATTTCCCAACCCAAGCAAAAAAGAAGCATAACCTGGGTCTTCTCGAGCCCTGATGTTTTCTGTCAGCCTGAATTTCACAAATCTGGGCCACAGATAAGAAGTGACAATACTTGCCTCTACTGCTTCGTTCATTGTCTTACGTGGGACCACTGGCAAGACTTGTCGGAAATCTCCTCCCAAAACAACTACTTTCCCTCCAAACACTACCTTATTTCCACAAATATCCTGCAATAAAAGATCTAAGGATTCAACATTTTGTTTTTTAGCCATAGAAGCCTCATCCCATATTATTAGAGCGGTTTCCTTTAATAATGCAGCTAAACTCCCTTGTTTTGGAACATCACATGCCAGTGAACCCTCATCATCAATTGGGATTTTGAACCGCGAATGAGCAGTTCTCCCTGAAGGAATGTTAGCTGCAGCTATTCCCGATGTAGCTGTAGGTAAAACAATCTTATTCAGTTGTCGAATTTCTGCATATAGAGCATTGTAGAGAAAAGTTTTCCCTGTACCTCCAGGACCATCAATAAAGAAAGCACCGGCTTTTTGCTGCACGACATGTTCCATTATACATTCGAAGGCAGCATTTTGTGCAGAGTTCAACTTTGAACGACAACTTAAGCACTCTTGTGGGATTGGTGCATCAAGAGCATCTATAATATCCTTTGTACATATGAACTCATCACTAACCTGTGACACTAATTCCTCCAGACCAAAAAAAGCAAGGGATTTTCCCATGGCTTCCAGATGTTGTTCAACAGCTCGAACAGTAAGCTGTTGTATTCTCACCAGTTGATTTGGGAACCTGTGAGAGTAATCTTCAGCAAGAAAAGGATAATAAGTATTCCATAAAGCAGCAGGATCTCTTGGTTGACAGAACATTAACACTGTTGCAAACAGGCGGCGCAAAGCAGCAGGCATATGAGTTTCACATGCTTCAGCCATTGTGGAATTGGCTGCGTCATCATCTTCTATAAGGCCTCGTTTTAAAGCATCTTCCTGAAAGGTTGAATACAGACAGCTGTCAACAGTGCGCAGATCTTCAAAAGACTTAGGACTTCTTACATTCAACAATAGGAGTCTAAGAAAGAACCGTTCCCCTTCTGCAGGAAACACAAATGCCAAGCGGCCAACTGAAATCCTGTTTTGTACTCTTCGTTTCCATTTCTTATCACCCTGATGCCATGTATAGTGCTCACAAAATTCACCATATAAATATCCTAAGCCACGTTCATCAGCAGCGTTCATTGCAAAGAATTCAGTTAGTTGAGTTCTTGAACGTTTAGCATCCGAAACAACAGAGAGTAGCCTTTCATGCGGATGCACATGAACAGTCTGCGTGTATGGCAAATGGACCTGTAAAGGCAAAACAGAAGGGTGCACTTTGAATAGGTCAAAGCTAAATATTCTCCATGCAGCTTCACAAGGAGATACCCATCTACCCAATTGATATCGATGAATTTCATCTACAGTTTCACCATCAGAAGCAACAACATTATAGGAAATCTTATTATGGCCCTTATAGACATACTTGTATAGATACTTTACTGCTTTGATGGTCGAACACACCTCAACATTCAAGTGGCAATCAAATAGCATTGACGGATAAGGGTCATAGGGAATAACCCACTGATTGTCTAATTGTGCATTTCTTATGGTGACCTGCTCCCCAGTGTCTCTTCTGCGGTAGATAGGATATCCATCCTTATTATTTGTTGTTTCATTGCAAAATTGCTTAGGGTATTTGTTCTTGCAACTGCGTTTCACGCCAGTTTTCTTCATACATGGACACTCCGGATTCAGCATGCCACAAGGACCATGCATCATATGCGCCAACACAATTCTTCTGAGGATACCATCAGTGTGAGCAGGTATTTCAGCACAAACAAATCGATCATAGTCAGAAGGGCACTTGAGCTTATATGCAGGTTTCAGAATAATTAGAATTGAGCATGTGGCAACCCTCTTTTCTGGAACTCGACTACATATACCATTGCAGAAACTTCCCCGAAGATTTTATTTTCCATGATTTCTTTTTTCAATGCCAGTAATTTTGCTCTAAAAATCCTAGCAACCAAATCAGGTCTGTCTTGTGTCTTGTGCCGTCTCACCATTAGCTAACTCGGCTTTTATTTCAGGCCAATTAGCATTACAAGTGATTGTTACGAAAAGATCTGGCTTACCAAATCTTTGTACCAAGGCCATTGCATTTAAATACCGCTTCTTCATATCCCGAGGACCACCAATATAAGTAGGAGTAGTATAACTCTACGACCAACATTTTGGCCAAGAGTCTCCCCTGAATCCAGTGAATCCAGAATACCTTTATATAGATCAGCTCTTATGGTGTCCTGATTATTTCAGAAATAATCAAGCCTTGTATTTTCAATCTTCACATACATATCCACTATGTATTGCTGAAAACACCTACCCGCTCGCAACAACATATTATTAGGCCTGATTTGTAACCGGTAGGCATAATACTCTCTAGCAGAAATGAACTTGTCAGCTTTAGTGTTCTTTCTCTTTGCCCCTGCAATTAAGAAATGAAAGAAAATATTTAAAGGAGACAACAGCAGAAGGGCAACTAACATAAAGCACGAAGAATAAGTTCTAGAATATGTACGGGTTTCTTCCTGCTCCAATAAATCTGTTGCAGTATGAACAACACAAGACATTATAGGATCTGGAACAAAATCTGCCGTGCTCCGAGATGGGTGAGAATTTTTTTTGAGCCCTTGAGTCCACCCACATTCACCTCGAGGAAATAATAAAGGATACTGAAGCGGATCATAGCAGCCATAATTATGATATATTCGGTGAGATTCATCAGAGCGTCCACTTACTAATACATGAGGACCCAGGCTCTGGCTAGATGAAGCACTCTCCGGCCAGATAGCAACAACTTCATCAACAGCAGGAGCATTATAAACACGTTGATCAAGAACCGGGGCATGATTTAAAATAATTCTTGTGTCTGCATGAATGACCTTGTCCTTTAAAGTCCGGAAGTGAAGGTTCAATGGGCACTCAAGAGGGGGGGTGAATTGAGTGTTAAGTAATCGTTGGCTAATTTTGCTTCTTTTCGGATTATGTGTGAGGAACCAGTTGTGCTGGTTCCCGTACGCAGCGGAATATAAATAAGCAATAAAGAAGACAACAAATTTAACGAGGTTCAGCCAACTCAGGCCTACGTCCTCCTATCCTAAGTTCTTTATTAATCTACTCCGAAAAACAAAGACAAAGAACACTCTGCTGTTTCCCTACTCCGGGAACCAGCAAACCCCACACTCTACTCCGAGTGTGCTCTCGACTTACACTCGTAAGCCCAATGTGTTTGAACTCACAAACACTCACCCAGCCTTTAACCCCTTTGTTAAAGACTCAATACAAGAATCAAGAACTCTCCTTTGATCTCACTTCTACGAAGCTAATTAAGAGAAAAAGTTTAAGTACTAGAATGCTCTTGTATATAACTTGATGAATGGGATTAGTGCTTAAGTATATGCTCTCAAATAATTGCTCTTTTAATTTCTGGAGAGGCACACGAAATATGTGAAATAAGATGAGTTTATATAAGCTTAGATTCCTAAAACCTAGTTTCCTTAAATCACACAATCTTAGAGAATAAGATATATTGTAATTTTAGGAAAGTATTTATCTTATTTGATTTAATCACAAAGATAGAATCAATTAAGATAAATACTCCTAGTTTTTAGGTAACCAAGAATATTTCATCTTATTTCCAGCTGCACAAAATATTTTCAAAATAATCTTTTCGAAAAAATCTTTTTGTAAAATCTTTTTCCAAAACGGCAGCTCGAATATTTCGTACAGTGAACCTGGTTCCCCGACCTGGTTCCCTGAATTGAAACATGTTATGAAACCTGTTCCAACTTTGTACCAGATTTCATATCATACTTCAATATACTTTTAAGCACTTATATAACCCAAACATGCAAGCATACTACGGAGCATATTACATGAAAACCTAGATAACATATTAAAGCAAAAATCGTCTTTTCTTCATGTAATCTTCAAGACTTGAATCTTCCTTGAATACTTCTATTATGAGCAAACAATCTTTCTTCGAAATATCTTCGAAAGGCTTCTATGCTCCAAGTCTTGGAATCAACTCAACTACTGCACATGTAACATGGTTAATGCACAATAAAGAGTATGTGACTGCTTTTCCGCATAGCAGTCAAGGAAACGGTTCATACTGGTTCCCCACCAGTACACAGCACATTTATCATCTAACTGTTTCCTGTATATAGATAAGTTAGTTCAATAGATAACTCATATAATCAATAACTTATCTAGGAAAACAGTGTTCTATTTTAGTTGGTTCCCCCAACTGTATTGAACACTTTCAAAGACCTGTTTCCCTTAGCTGTTTGTCATCATTCAAAACTATCAATCAAAACCTAAGGGACTCAACAAATTCCCCCTTTTTGATGATGGCAAACTCTTGAAGTTCTTGAACCTGTGGACATGCTCAAAAAGAAAACCGTCAAAAACTTCAAGGACTCAAAACTCTTTGGAACAAGTCAGTTAGGCTAACTGGTCCCCTAAACAGAAAATAGAAAATACGAAATAAAAAGACTCAAACTGACTCAATCTAAACTAGCTAAACCTCAAACTGACTCAATCTAAACTAGCTAAACCTTAGGCTTCAACTTCAAACTACTTCCCCCTTTTGGCATCATTAAAAAGTATCCACAAGTAAAAGCAATGTGCACAAGTTAATGTGCTTATCCATACAATGGCATCAACCACCATTCAAGCATTATGCTGCAAAAAGAGATTAGTCAAACAGTTCATACCATAGCAGAGTTAGTAGTTCATACAAGCCAACAAAGTTCAACCAAAGAAGCCCAAATCCATCCAAAAAGAAAGTTCATGGAATGGAGAGAAGTAGACAGACCAACAAAATCAGTTATTTTAGAATAAACATGAGGGTGAGGAAACAAGAACAGAAACAGCATCACTCCTCATCATCATTCTCGTTCCCTTCCTCCTCCTCGAACTTTGCAACATCTTCTGTATTATCATCTGATTCCTCTTCATCCTTGTCACCATGCTCTGCTTAAACCAAAATCATTATATTACTAAGCATATTCTTGTGATTCCCCAATCTGTTTCAAAACCACTTCCTGACCTGCTGGTTCCTCTATTTTTTTTATTTTATTTTTTTTTTTTTTTTATAAATCATGAGAGATCCGCACTTATTCATAAAGTTCTCCTTGTTGCATAACGAGTACAAGACTAGCATCACATCAATCAAGCAAAGACCTCCACCCTTTTGTGGTGTGAAAGGTTCTTGCTGGTACCCTTTTTCTCTTGGTTTCCGGAAGAGAATTAATGGACTGTTCCTCCTACACCTTCTCAGTGAACTTCTTTAATGAAGATTGAGTTACTCTACTTCGTACCATGGTCTTAACAATGAGTGTCTCCTCATTGTAACCAACAATCTCTATTTCATCCTCTTCACTCTGACTTTTCCGAATTTCCTCCAACTTCGGGCTTAAGGACATTTGAGCTTCCTTCTGATGTTCCCCCTGAGACTGAGGTGGTTCCTTGAGTGAACAATAACCGAATGAACAATGATGAATTTAAAGCATACGAGAGAGAGAAAGAGAATTTCGAGTGATGATGATTGATGATCTGCACAAAGGGTTAGTGTATATTTTTAACAATGAAGCACAAAGAGAGAAGAAGGAAAGAAAAGAGTTAGTTGAGCCAATAAAAAGCAACTGTAAAGGATATTTTTAAATTGAAATCAAAAATTTGGTAATTATCTTTTACCATAATTATCTCAACCAACTATAAATAAGGCATATGATATGTTTGCCTTTTATATGGGATTAAATAACTGAAATAAGATAAATTCCTTCCAAAAGGAAATATCTTATAGTAATCTTCCGAAAATAAAAGATATTATCGGATGACATATCAGAGCTGGTCTGCTGTTTCCCTTTGTTGGTACCTGTATAGAACCATGTCACGTTGTTTCTGGCAATTCAGCCTGATTTCACCTGTTTCTTACAACAATGATTCTCAATCCTTTTGAGATTTTGAACCATCTACACAACACTTGAAAGATATCAACATAAGTATGTACACACACTATACAAGAGAATACCATTCTAACCAATCATTGAAGGAAGTAATTGAAGCCAATACCTAAAATCTAACTAGACCTAAAAGGACTCTTAACCTACAAAAAGACTCTCTACACAAAGGCTTTGTGAAGATATCAGCAATTTGATCTTCACTTTTACAAAACAACATCTCCACCAATCCTTTTTCCACATTGTCTCTTAAAAAATGGTGTCTTATTTCAATGTGTTTTGTCTTGGAGTGTTGCACAGGATTCTTTGAAATATTGATTGCACTAGTGTTATCACAAAAAATAGGAACACTTTTATAAATAACACCAAAATCTTTCAGCTGGTTCCTTATCCACAGTAGCTGGGAACAGCATGAAGCTGCAGCTATATATTCAGACTCTGTTGTGGATAGGGCCACTGAATTTTGCTTTTTAGAACCCCATGAAATTAGACAAGAGCCAAGAAAGTGTGCCATACCTGATGTGCTCTTTCTATCAACTAAGAAACCAGCATAATCTGCATCTGTGTATCCAATAAGATCAATGGTACTGCCTTTGGGGTACCACAATCCCAGATTTGCTGTTCCTACAAGATACCTAAGTATCCTTCTAACAGCCTTCAAGTGAGATTCCTTTGGATTGCTTTGAAACCTAGCACACAAACCAACAGAAAACACAATGTCAGGTCTACTAGCTGTTAGGTAAAGTAGAGAACCTATCATTCCTCTATAAAGAGAAGCTTCAACATCTTTTCCCTTAAGATCAGCATCTAATTTTGTAGATGGGGGAACAGGTGTATCATAAGCTTTGCTGTTCTCCATGCCGAATTTTTTCAGCAACTCTTTTAAGTACTTTTGTTGATGGATCATTATTCCATCATCCATTTGCTTAATCTGCAGCCCTAGGAAGAATCCTAGTTCTCCCATCATGCTCATTTCAAATTCACTCTGCATAAGATTAGCAAATTCATCACATAAAACCTGATTAGTAGCACCAAATAAAATATCATCAACATAAATTTGTACTACAATCAAGTGTTTCCCCCTGGTTCTTATGAACAAGGTCTTGTCTACTGTTCCCCTCTTGTAATCATTTGCCATCAAGAAATTGGACAATCTTTCATACCAAGCCCTCGGAGCTTGTTTCAACCCATATAATGCTTTGTCCAACTTGTACACATGTTGGGGGAACAGTGCATCTTCAAAACCAGGTGGCTGCTCCACATATACTTCTTCCTTTAAATATCCATTGAGGAAGGCAGTCTTTACATCCATCTGAAACAGCTTAAAATTCATGTGAGCAGCATAAGCAATTAAAATCCTAATAGCCTCTAGCCTAGCTACTGGTGCAAACGTCTCATCATAGTCAATTCCTTCTTGTTGATTGTACCCTTGCACCACTAGCCTTGCTTTGTTTCTGACTATAGTACCAAGGTCATCTAACTTGTTTCTAAAGACCCATCTAGTGCCAATGACTGATCTTTCCTTGAGACGGGGAACCAGGTGCCAAACCTGGTTCCTCTGAAACTGATTTAACTCATCTTGCATAGCTAGTACCCAATCAGGA